GCCTCCTGGGTTCAGGCAATTCTCCTGCCTCAGCCTCCTGAGTAGCTGGGATTACAGGCACGCGCCACCATGCCCAGCTAATTTTTTGTATTTTTAGTAGAGACAGGGTTTCACCATATTGACCAGGATGGTCTCGATCTCTTGACCTCGTGATCCACCCGCCTCGGCCTCCCAAAGTGCTGGGATTGCAGGCGTGAGCCACCGCGCCCGGCCCTTCCTGCCCTTTCATTACTGAAAAGTGAGTTGGGCCGTAGCTGCTGTGAGGCCCATATTATGCAACCATTGTAGATATATTTAATGACTTCTGTGCTCTAGGATTTTTTCCTACCTTGATCAGGTAAATTGAAAGTACATATTTCTTTACAGACTCATATGAACCTTCAATAAAAAGTAATTGATAATCATAATATGGTGCTCAGCAAGACTTAGAGGTAGCACCTAGTATATGTGTATTTTATTCTGATTTTCATATGTAAGTTACAAAGGAAAAAAAGAGAAGCTTTGTTCCAATAAGGATTTATTTCCACTAATGCAACTCTCAGTAATTTGCTGAGCATTTAAAGGACTGAATGGCAGAATCGATTTATTGTTTTTGCAACTGCTGCTTTAAAAAGCACGTTTATCCTTACATCATAAGTCAGCAATTCATTTAAAGTTTCAGCTTGAACAAAATATGATTCTAGGCCGGGCGCAGTGGCTCACGCCTGTAATCCCAGCACTTTGGGAGGCCAAGGCAGGCGGATAACCTGAGGTCAGGAGTTTGAGACCAGCCTGCCCAAAATGTTAAAACCCTATCTCTGTTAAAAATACAAAAAATTTTGGTGGCAGGTGCCTGTAATCTCAGCTACTTGGGAGGCTGAGGCGTGGCGGTATGTGCCTATAATCTCAGCTACCTGAGAGTCTGAGGCGTGGTGGTAGATGCCTGTAATCTCAGCTACTTGGGAGGCTGAGGTGTGGTGGTATGTGCCTATAATCTCAGCTACCTGACAGTCTGAGGCGTGGTGGCAAATGCCTGTAATCTCAGCTACTTGGGAGGCTGGGGCAGGAGAATCGCTTGCATCTGGGAGGTGAAGGTTGCAGTGAGCCAAGATTACGCCACTGCACTCCACCCTGGGCGACAAGAGCAAAATTTTATCTCAAATATATATATGATTCTAGACTCACAAGCTCACAAATTCTTTCTGTTGGTCTCCCATTTGGTTATTTGAACCATAAAAGATAGCTGTTAGGACAATACCACTAGTAAATTTAAATGGTATAGTAGGAAAGCAAAGTTCTTCAGAAATTTCATCTTCAAGATTCAGCAACATGCATTTTAAATATGAGAAATGAATAACAATGGCCCTGCATTTGTAACTCCTTTCTTTACTTCTTAAGTTTAGAACTTCAGATTCACACTAATTCTTAATCATCAATAAGAACTCACAAATAGTCCTTCAGTTGTTTATTCATATTACTGTGCTGCTCAGGTTAAAAATTATAAACTCTGATCACTCCTGACTCTACTTCTCAGGTTGGAAATGATAAACCTCTGGGCTGGATGGATCATGCCTATAATCCCAGAACTTTGGGAGGCTGAGTCAGGAGGATCGCTGGAGACTAGGAGTTTGCAACCAGCCTGGGAAACATGGTAAAACCTTATCCCTACCAAAAAACAAAACAAAAACAAAAATTAGCCGGGCATGGTGGCCTATGTATAGTCCCAGCTACAGGGGAGGCTAAGGTGGGAGGATTGCTTGAACCCTGGAGGCAAAGGTTGCAGTGAGCCAAGATCAAGTCACTGCACTCCAGCTTGGGTGAGAGTGAGATCTCAAAAAATAAAAAAGAAAAAAGAAAAAAAAAGAAAAAGATGGAAGGAAGGAGGGGGAGAAAGGTTAACTATAAACCTTAAGAATATATAGAGAGACAGTGTATTTGTTTCCTAGGGGTGCACTGCATGGTTTAAAACAACAGAAATACCTGGGCATGGTGGCTCATGCCTATAATCCCAACACTTTGGGAAGACAAGGCAGGTGGATCACTTGAGGTCAGGGATTCGAGACCAGTCTGGCCAACATGGCAAAACTCCATCTCTACTAAAAATACAAAAATTAGCTGGGCATGGTGGCAGGTGCCTGTAATCCCAGCTACTCCAGAGGCTGAGGCAAGAGAATCACCTGAACCCAGGAAGTGGAGGTTGCAGTGAGCTGAGATCCTGCCGTTACACTCCAGCCTGGGTGACAAGAGCAAAACTCTATCTCAGAAAAAGAAAAAAAAAAGAAAAGAAAAGAAATAGCAACAACAGAAATGGGTTGGATACCACGGCTCCCTCTTATCATCCCAGTATTTTGAGAAGCTGAGGTGGGCAGATCATTTGAGTGATCAGGAGTTCAAGTCCAGCGTGGCCAAAACCAACCCTGCCTCTATTAAAAATACAAAAATTAACCATGGTCGAAGCTACTCAGGAGGCTGATGTGGGAAAATCACTTGAACCTAGGAGGTGGAGGTTGCAGTGAGCAACAGAGCGACAGGGTGGGAACTTATCTCAAAAAAAAAAAAAAGAAACAAAAAAACCCAGAACTGTATTGTCTGACAGTTCTGGAGGTCAGAAGTCTGAAATCAAGGTTTCAGCAGGGTGCCCCTTGGGGGCTCTGAGGGAGAAATGGCTCAGGCCTCTCTCCTGGCTCCGGGTGGTCATCAGCACCCATAGGTGTTCCTTGTGTTCCTCAGTTGTAGTTGTATGGTCCAATCTCTGCCTTCGTTATCATGTGGTCTTGTCTCCTGTGTCACTCCCTTCCTGTAAGGACACCAGTCATTGGATTTAGGACCCACTCCAACACAGTATGACCTCATCTGAAGTAATTAACATCCGCAGAGATTCTCTTTCCAAATCAGGTACCATTCAGAGATTCCAGGTAGACATGAATTTTGGGGGAACACTATTCAACTCACCATAGACAGCGAATGTGAATATGCAAACACAAGTTTAAACTACTTTGTTGAACATATAAACAGTTATTAGGTGAATTTTTACTTGGAGAACTTTCATATGTTTAAGTGAAAATGGTAGATGTAAAGATAAATACAGATGTAGGAGTTTAAAATTCAGAATATGGAAGAGGATATGGTATAAAGGAGATTTTGTAATAGGTTTACTACAATAAAGGCAGTTTGAGAAAAGTTTGACTCATTCAACCCTTTCCATTTGCTTATTAATTAGATGAATAGATAATTCATCTAATTATCTATTCACATATTCTAATAGATCTAATTCTCACATATTCTAATAGATTTAAGGTGGTTTATAAAAAGACATGTAAAACAACAAATATATGTGGGAAAATTGGAAAAAAAAGGAAAATTAAGTTTAGAAAAATAAGAAATCAAGGAATAAAACATACTGGGCCACAATTAGATTCTGAGCTTTCCAGCAGATTAGCTACGTGATTCATAGTCTCAATGAGATGAAACAGTTAGTTACTGATATTTGTTCTTCATATGTAAGCAAGGGCATAAAGCATTATTCAGTAAAGGGAATTACTTATTTTATCTTTAGAATTTTATATGAAATATAAATTAATAAATATTATTATTATTTTGAGACAGGGTCTTGCTGTCACCCAGGCTGGAGTGCTGTGGCATGATCTTGGCTCACTGCAACCTCTGCCTGCTAGGTTCAAGCGATTCTCATGCCTCAGCTTCCTGAGTAGCCGGGAGCACGACTGCCGCCATACCAGGCAATTTTTTTTTGTATTTTTAGTAGAGACGAGATTTCACCATGTTGGCCAGGCTGTTCTCAAACTCCTGACCTCAAGTGATCCACCTGCCTAAGCCTCCTAAAGTGCTGGGATTACAGGCATAAACTACCATGCCTGGCCTGATAAATATATTATTGTAATAGTTTGCTATAGATATTATTCTCTTTAATATCTCAGATAAGTCATATATTTTTCTAAAAATTATTTTTGGGAAGCCAATGGGAGAGAGATTATCTTTCCTAAACTCTTACTGACATAGATATAGGTACTAGACAATATAATCCAAAGTGTATTATCTCTGTTTTAAAAACCAAGCAAGAAAAAAAACCCAAAACCAGAAAAACTACGAACAGAAAGCCCTTCTATAGCAGAAAATATCTTGATCTAAGAATGAAAATAACAGAATGGTTGAATAGCCTATTATACATCACGACTATGGAACACTATGGAAAGAACAGCTAGGCTGGGTGCAGTGGCTCACGCCTGTAATCCCAGCACTTTGGGAGGCTGAGGAAGGTGGATCACCTGAGGTCAGGAGTTCCAGACCAGCCTGGCCAACATGGTGAAACTCTGTCTCTTCAAAAAATTAGCCAGGTGTGGTGGCAGTTGCATGTAGTCCTAGCTTCTCAGGAGGCTGAGGCAGGAGAATCACGTGAACCCAGGAGGCGGACATTGCAGTGAGCTGAGATCACCTCATTGCACTCCACCCTGGGCAACAAAAATGAAATTCCATATCTGAAAAACAAAAACAAAAACAAACAAACCAACAAAAAACCCCCAACAGAACAGCTAAA